AGGGGAAAAAAATAAGAACCAAGATACTCATGTAATGGTACAAGATCCCAATGATGAATGTAACTGTATTTTATACCTAAAATGTACCAACAAAGTTAATGGGGAAAAAAAACATGCAGCAGGAAAAAGATGACAGGAAGAAGTACAAAAGACAAGTGTTAGAGCACTTTATAAATTTTTTTTTAAATTATGAAAGTAGGGCCAGGGATTTAGCTCAGTGGTTCCACCTCCTGCCTTGCAAGCCCAAGATCCTGAGTTCGACCCCTGGTACCAAAAAAAAAAAAATTATGAAAGTCAGAAAGAATATATTTGGTCTTCAAGGACTAAAAATAGAATTAAAGCAGGTATACTTTATAGGAAAGCCCAGCAGACTACAGAGTAAGATATGAAGGATTGGAAACATCTCAGAGTATCAGTGTGGTTTTGCTTTGCCCATAGGTCTATTACTTAGGTCTGTGATAAGGTACTACAAAACAACAAAAAGTATAAAAAAACCTAATAATTCTTTTTGTAACTTTAGATATTCAAATATCCTAGGGATGTGTACTACTCCTGAGTGAACAGCTTAGGAAATGAGTATTAATCCATTCATGTTTAGAGAAGGTGTCAGAGCAAGGCAGACCCATGGACCAGAAGTGCTCCTAAAGTGTAAATTGTTGGAAGAAATTTGGATCTAAGAGCCCAGGAGTTTTGAAGCTGTCATTGTCTGCCCATAATTCAAATAGAGATAAACGAATTGTGGGCAGATAGGATGACTGGATTAAGTATCAATTCATTTAAAAAGGGCTATTTTGAAGACAAAGAACCTCAGTAAAGTGACCTTGATAAGTACTGAAGGAATTACATGTGAAATTCCTTAAATAAAAATTTATTTAATTAACCCACTTTTCGGTCCTACTTCTATCTCTCTTAGAAAGAAGCTATCTTTCTCTTGATAAATTCTTCCTACTCTTAAAAAAAGTTATTAAATTTTAAAAAAAGACATAAAGGATGTCTTAGTCTTGTCAAGGTGCTGTAACAAAATACCATATAAAAAGTTTATAAACAAGAGCAATTTATTTTTCACAGTTTTGGAGGCCAGAAAGTCCAAGATCAAAGCAGAGTCTGGCTCATAGATAATGCCTACTTCCTGTGTCCTCATATGGTAAAAGGGCAAAGGGGGTCTCTCTAGCCCTTGTTCTTATACAATATTAGGGATCAGATTCAAGGAGTAATGTTAATTATATTAAGCTTTTAAACTTTTAGAAAATGAGTTTTATAAATTAGATTCATGCTATACCTAGTTATAGATAAACTGTACCCCCATTTAATACTGTATTAAAAGAGGGCATTTTTCACCTACTCTTTATACAGTAAGCTGAAATTTAAAGACACATATAGTTAAGAGAAATACATGAAAGGTAAAAAATTCAGCCTTTAGTAGAAAGAACAAGAGTGTTTTCTTTATATGGTGACAGAGAAAAATCTCTGAAAAATGAGATAGAAGATGTAGCTGATGTAGAATCACACATGAATTGAAATTCTAAATCTGTGTGGGCCAGGGATTTACCTCAGTGGCAATGCACCTGCCTCGCAAGCGCAAGGTCCCGAGTTCGATCCCCGTACCAAAAAAAAAATTCTAAATCTGCAGCTCTATCAGAAGTCTGAAGTACATATATTTGGTTTATTTACTAAATTGTTTAACAGTAGATAAACCAAAGTACTAAAAATCACACTGTAATCTGTAAATATGTACATCAGTTAAAAATAACTAAAGTACTGTATGAAAAGCAAAGTCTACCTTATTTCTAATATTAAAAATGTCCTTGGAGATATAAAATTAACTCCTGTCTGCCTCCAGAGATATTAGAATTTCATTAACAACTAAATTACCATTCTAGTGCATTTAGATTAATTGTATATTGCAAAGAATATTGGAAAAATCAGTCTTCAGCATTTTCTTCAAATTGTTTAAAACTACGCCAGAGATTTAACTCAGTGGTGCCTCACCTGCCTCACAAGCACCAGGTCCTGAGTTCAATCCCTGGTACAAAAAAAGAGTTTAAAGCTAAATGATGGGATCAAAAGTTTAAAAACTATTCATGGGTAAAGAAATTAATATACATATCTTTAAAAATTAATATACATGTAGCTTTGGAAATGTTACATATTCTGTTTAAATGTTAAGTCTTATGAAACACTTTGGTCCTAGCATGACAACAATATTTACCTGATATTTTTAAACACAAGAATCAAGGAAATCAAGTTATTTTTTAAAATTCACCTGTTGATGGTGAAATACAATAATCATCCTCTACAGACTGGCCATAGAGATCATCATCTTCAAAATCTAAAACAAAAACAAAAGAGATAAATTCATTTACAAGTTCTTTTTATATTCTTCCTTATTAATGAAGAAGTACCTGAATTCTCTGCATAACTAAAGGAACCTAGGTCTACTTTCCAAAAAATTCTAAGAATTTCATCTACAAAGTATGTACTTACTGATATTCTATATTTATAAAGACATAGTTCTTCCATTTTTAAGTTGACTGAGTTTTAAGTTTTCGTCCCACATTATCAAAAAACTAACTTGAACTATCTTTCCAAAGTGGATTAAAAACTTAAGCCATCCAACTATTTTTTTTCAGCAAGTGCTCTCTATAACCAAAGCCCTTCTTTACCACAGCACTGACCATGGTGGGGGGGGGGGAGATATAGAGAGAGATGTCTCAGAACATGAAAGTAGTTTTTCTTCACATAGAGCTAGGTAACGGTTACATGAACCAGTTAAACCCTAAGTCCTCTTGTGCTCACTTGGCTAACAACTAATAGGCCCTTTTACTTGATCTTTGCCTAGATTTTCCTAAAGCTGTTTCTTTCTCCCAGTTAAAGTTGCAGCTTAAATGTCACTTCTTGGCAGAAATCTTCCCAGTCCACTCTGGGTAATGTGCCAAGCCCTCCTGCTACATTTACCTTGTAGCAGACTCCTCCAATTTACTATCTTCAAAGCACCACACCTGTTTCACTCCATGAACCACCACACCTGTTTCACTCTGAAGTTCCTTCCGAGCAAGAGTTGTTTTAGCCAAATACCTGGCACATATTTGGCACTAATATTTATGTAAATGTATTCACTAACTGATTCAACAAAATATAACTCTAAGCCAGAGACAGACAGAGAGAGAGAGAGAGGGAGAGGGAGGGAGAGAGGGAGAGAGACACATTCCCAGTTCTCGCCAAACCAAAATTCTGATACAAATACAGTCACATATGCAGACAATAACAAGACCATATAAGTGTTCAATATGAGAAACACTGGGCAATTTGGGAAGACATATATGAACAAAATTAGAATTAGGAATGACAAGGCTAAGATCGCCAGGAATATAACATCCAAACTACAAAAACAGAGTTAGCCTCTCCCCCCAGCCCCCTCACCTCCCACTTTGGATTTCTGAGACACAGTCCCACTGTGTAGCCTAGGCTGGCCTCAAACACTCAAACTCACAATCCTCCTGTCTCAGTCTCTCAAGTGCTGGGATTACAGGCATGTGCCACTATGACCAACCCAGGTTAGTCAATTTTTGAGTGTATTCATGCAGCAGACACAGCATGCTCAAAGGCTGAGACCAAATGCTATAGCAGAAAATAACAATGTATCAGCAAATAAATAAGTGACTATTCACAAACAGGTATTTTAGGTATTTAGACAAGAATCATTTTTACTAGGTCTGTTTGTCAATACTAAAATTGACCCTGAAGTGCTACAATTTTTTTTAAAAATCAATAAAATTCTCTCTCCTGCAATCCTGGTAAAGTGGCTCATTTCTACATCCAAATTTTGGAGTGTTTACTAAATAGAAGACATTATGCCAGCTACAAGGCTAAGTATAAAATTTAAAGTAGAACTTTTAAACTAGTAGCTGAGGCATCACATAAAGTACTATCCAAATTACAGAGAAAAACAAAGTAGGAGTTAAAAAGAGGAACCTAACAATTTAAAACATAGACTCTAATGAGGTTAAATTACTTTTTTGAATTTTTGCACTATTATTCTGAGAGTCCAAGGAAAAGCTTAACTGGAAAGAAGAGAAACTGGACCCCGAAGATGAGTAAATTTTATAAGAAAAAAGGATGATCTTTATTTACTACAGGACAACCTGGTTATGGTGTCACCAATTGTTTCAAAGAAACATGACAATCTGACCTCAGGTACCCAAAGTGAGAAAATATTAGCACTCATTCCCTAATGCCAAGCACCTCTTGTCTAGCAAGCTTTAGTTGCCATAGAAATCCTGCTTAAACCCTCAACCCATTCTGAATTAGATCTTCTATATAGCCCCTGGAGCACTGTCATTACTTTCTGCAGTACCACTCATACTCTACTCACCTGTTACTTTTATCTCCTCAGAGGCAGCCTCAATATCTTAATGTTATTCTCCAACCTAAGAACAGTACTCTAGGCACTCAATTACCATTGACTGAGAAAGTGATGACTATTAAAGAAATAACCATAGGGGCCGGGGATTTAGCTCAGTGGTTCCAGCGCCTGCCTCACAAGCACAAGGTGCCGAATTCGATCCCCAGTACCAAGAAAAAAAAAGAAAAGAAATAACAATAATATTATTTCATATTTGCAAAATTGTCTAAAGTCATTGCTCAGGTGATAAGTGGCCCCTATGCCAGTATTTACAGACATTACAATAGTTACTGAAAAGGGCCTCCATTCTAAAATGAATACCAGAAAATTAATGTATGCCAGGTAGATTGGTTCAGTCTCCAAACGTTGCCTAGGTTGTTGGCCCCCCACCACCACTAGAGCACACTAATGTTCCAGAATAATCTACAGGGAGGGCTAATTTAAGCACTACATGCTCTGCACTTTACATAACAATAGGTCTTTATTTCTATCCTGCATTAGTACATAATTGTTTATATTTTTAGTTTCTATGATGCTTGGTGATGCCTATAATTATCTACTGCATGATGTGCTCCTCCTAAAACTTCTAACTCCATTTAAACTCCTAGAGAACATTCATATACACATTTTTTTCTTTTTTTTTTTTTTTTTGATTTTTTGAGACAGGGTCTCCCTTTGTAAGGCTGAGCCCAAACTCACTATGTAGCCCAGGCTGGCCTCGAACTCATGGTGATCCTCCTGCCTCAGCCTCCCGAGTGCTGGGATTACAGGCGTGCGCCACCACGCCCGACTTCATTTCATTTTTAAAATCAATGTTCTCTTCATGACTTTTCCTCTACTGCTTTTTATTTCCATTTCAATATACATTTATATTGAGTATTACCAGCCAAAACCCGAGTAAACATCTCAAGATTCTGACGGCATTGTTTTGCCTTTTTAACATGTATCTTTTCTACTGTCTTCTACGTCCCCGATTTGAAATGCGTTGAAAAACAAATCAGCTTAAGTTAGATTCTGTACTAAAAACGTGTGAGCATACGAAAATATTTAACATGTAAATACTGTATAACACGGTTACAGCAGGTTAGCTGAATACAGACACTAAGTCAATTTGTTTTACAAGTAAAGTTCTTTACTGACATTTCTGAAATGGGATTCCGGGGAGGGGAGTTAGAAGGAGGCACACGAGTATCCAGGCTCGAAAAAAACAATGGAATGAACGATTATATCTATGTGCCTAATAGCACTGGATCCCAAATTTGCCAAATAGCCTTCCCATATGTTGTATGGCACCTCCCTCTTCCTAAATAAGGTCAATTCCAGAGGGCAGAAACTACAATTCGCTGCCATTCGCGGGCACTCAGATGATGTTATTTTCCCCAATTTTGCGCCGCCCGGAATATCAGCCTGGGCCACTATGGAAAGATTCACTGATCGAAGCAATGCCAAACAGTCTGGGATCCCAGCTAAACTGCGAAAATGTCCCGGCGTGGCCCTGCCACCTACCTTCATCGTAGTTATAGCCTCGGACATTCCGATGCCGGGCCATGACGGCAGAGAGGGTGTTTGCCACAACCTCTTCCAAAATACTTAGTTCAGACACTGATCAGGCGCCGACTATGACCTGGAGAGCACCTATGCGCCATCTTGGCTTCCGGCAGGCCGCTGCGACGAGCGCTTGCGCACGCGCGACGTCTTATCGGCGCACTGCGCGACGGCAACCTCTCAGGGTCATAGAGCCCCTCCCTGCGGACGCATGCGCATTGCGAATGTGGTGGGGGAGGGGTAATCTTGGCGAGGCGGGATGTAGGGCAGGTTGAATGAAGAAGATTTCAAAGTCGGGAAATTCCGCCACCTATAATTTACTGGTCTGGACTAAATGTTGAGAGCGGGTACCTTAGACCTATGTCAGCATTCCGGACTCTTCCGAATTTGCTTTCTGATAATCTGGAAAAACTGCCTCTGTGCTAAATAAGAACAGGGACTTGGTTACCTGATCATTTTTGATGCCTACTTGGGCAAGCAATAGTCATTCACCAAATTTATATGAATGTGATGTAAGAATTACTCCACACTTTGAAGGGAAAAAACACTTTTTAAACAAGCATAGATGGTTAAATTTAGAATCTGGCTACACACAGTAAGTCACCATACTTTTGTATGGCTTCATGAATGAGCCCATCCAGCGTCAACATCTTTACTAAACAACTCTCAACCCTTAGCTATGTATAAGATCTTCATCAGCATCATAAGGAAGTATTCACTGAGTTTTCATTGAACACCTCTAACTGTGCGTAAGGTGCTAACACTATTAAATGTAGCTCTTTAGACATGGCACTGGCCTTAGGTGGTCATGATGAAATAAATGTTGGGGATACCTATTATTAAATGTATAAGCTATTATTAAACGCCCTAATTTCTTAGAACAAAGTTAATAATTCTGTGTAAAAAACCAATCTCATCATACTGAATAAACATATTCATTTTTCTTTGTGTTTTTGAAATGATACTTCATATCAAAACCAAATGTCAATTTATACAAAAGAATTGAGAGCTTACTTGGCTTTTTAAAATCCACAATAGAAATGAGAATAACAAATTTAATTCACATTAGTAAGTGATTTGCCTGGTAATTTATACATGCAGTTGAATGTGTCTGACTACCGAGTGGTTGTTCTTAACTATCATTGCTGTTTAATATGGTCCCAAGACAAAATCTTAACAAAAGAGAACTAGTTGCTAATTTTGTGTAGCTTTTAAGTGTTTGTTTCATACTTTGAAATGATTTTTATGTTGTATCCTGTTTCTTTGTCAAATGAAGATCATAATACCATGTAGTTCATAATGTTGTGAATAATCATTTATTCATGTAAGAGTATTTAGCACACAACATAGAAAGTGTTTAAAAGAATATTATTAGTTGGCTTGGTGGCACATGCTATAATCCCAGTGAAAGTGGAGACTGAGGCAGGAGAATCACAAGTTCCAGGGCAGCCTGGGCAACTTATAACCTCTCTAAAAATAAAATGTTAGAAAAAGGACTGGGGATGTCGCCTAGTGGTGGAGTGTCTGCTTAGCTTGTGCAAGGCCCTGAACTCATATATACACCAATGGCAGCTTCCACCCCACTGTCATTGCCAATTACCAATTTAAATACATCACTGAGGTAAATGAGTTATGAATTGACCACACAATGAAAGTCATACAGGAGCTGTAAGGAAACAATGCTTCTGCCTAGGAGGTGGCATATAACTCGATTCTTTGTCATCAGTGATGTACCCCCTTGATTACAATATTCAGAACAAAGAAATGGTCAAAGGAAACTTCAACTTGATGGCTTTGCTTTTATTTGCATAACTCTTACATGCGGTACTATAAAGTATAACAACATAAAACTATAGAACTGTACCGTAGTACAGTATAGTACTGTGTGGCATTTACTGTATATTATAATCAGCAAATATTACAGTATTGTATAAACAAGGTATACTGTGCAAAAAAATTGATGCTCTATAAACAAGATGTACAGAACTATACAAAAAAAAAAAAAGACAAGTTGTAAATCCCGGTGGCTGGTCATATTCCAATCTGCATGCCTCAGTCATAAGTACGAACAGTCATTAAATGAAGAGTGCCTGTATTCTTTTTTAATCAGTCTTTATTCACTTGGCATAATTACTTTGAGGTTCAACACTGTAGGTACTCATTCAGTACTTCATTCCTTTTATTGCAGAGAAGAATTTCATTGTGTGGATATACAACGATTTGTTTTTCCATTAATTTGTTGGTAGATATTTGGGTTGTTTCCAATTTGGGCTACTGCAAATAAGACTACTGTGAATATTTGTGTACAAATCTATTTATAAACATAAACTTTTATTTTTCCTGGGTAAAACCTAGAAACAGAATGGTTAAATGATATGACAGGTTATCTTTAGCTTTTTAAGAAACTACTGAACAGTTTTCCTAAAATGGTTGCAACATTTTACATTCCCATAAGCAATATAGTTCCGTTTCTTCCAAATCCTTCCAGTGTATCCGATGGTCCAAAGGTGCTTATTTGACATTCCTATATTCCTTGGGGGAAGAATCTGTTTGAATTTTTGGTTGATTTGTAATGGGATGTTTCATTTGTTTTAGAGCTCAGAATCAAACTCAGGGCCTCTTACAAACCGGGCAAGTGCTCTACTACTGAGCTACATCCTTAGTCCTTTTGTATTTTTGGTTTTTTGTGGTGCCAGGATCTAACCGACGGCCCTCACTCATTCTCCACAAGTTCTCTGTCACTGATCTATATCCTCAACACAGATGTATTTGAGCTTGAAGAGTACTTTTTATATTCTAAATATAATCCTTTTATTTGATATGTAATTTGAAATATTTCTCCCATTATATGACTCCATCTGTTCATTTTCTTTCTTTTTTTTTTTTTTTAAGGAGTGCTGGGGACAACTTGTTCTCTGTCATTTATTATTTATTTATTCACTTAATAAGTTATATACTGGACACTTACAGTGTGTTAGACATAGTTCTGGGTATTGTGATTTTTACTTGTTTGTGGGTACCAGGAATCGAACTCAGGACCTTGGGCTTGTGAGGCAGGCGCCAGAACCACTGAGCTAAATCCTCAGCCCATCTGTTCATTTTCTTAGCTGTGTGTTTAGAAGTTTTTCATCTTGTTACAGTCTAAGTTACCAGTTTTTTCTTTAATTAATTGTGTTACTGATTTTGTATCTAAGAACTCTTTACTCGATCTAAGAAAAAAAATTGTCTCCTTAGTTTGGGGTTTTACATTTAAATAATAAATACATTTTCAATTTAGTTTTATATGTGGTGTAAGTTTTGTACCAAAGTTCCTTCCTTTAACAAAAATATTTAATTGTTCCAGCATCATGTATTTTAAAAGTGTCCTTTATCCACAGAATTGCATGTGCATCTTTACCAAAAATCATTTTTCATTGTGAGCCTATTTCTGGGCTCTCCTTCCTATTTGATTCATGTACTAATCTGTTTATCTAAGACACCAATAATATGTTGTCATGTATACTGTAGCTTCATAGATTTAAAATCACATAGCATTGCTCTTTCAACTTTGTTCTATTTTTTCAAACTTCTCTTGGGTATTTTAGGTCCTCTGTATTTGTCTTCATTACTTTTCTCATTGCTGAGACAAAATACTCAACACCCACAAGTTAAAGGAGGAAAGGTTTATTTGGCTCACAGTTTGTAGAGGTTTCAGTACATAGTTGGCAGGCTCCAAGGCAGGGTGGCACGGTAGAGGGGCATCGCAGAGGAGAAACGGTTTATGGCAGGGCAGTCAGAAGGCAGCAAAGTAACAACAGCAAGCCTCCCTTTCCCTTTAACTCCAGGCTACGAGCCAATTGGTTGGTGCCACCCACTCCCAACCCCACCCCCCACCCAGGGTGGGCCTTTCATTATCCACACCCAGAACCATGCTAACCAATCAGTTGACTAATCCAATTATCACACCTCTAATCCACATTCACACACCCTAGATCCAGCCACCTCAGAAAAGCCCCACTTATGAGCACGTGAGATTTTGGGGGACATCTAGATACAAATGATAGCAGCATTTAAAATGAATTTTTAAAGGTTATCAATTACTATCCAGTATTCCTTCTGGGAGTTTAACTGGTATTTTTCTGCCTCTAGTTAACTTTGAAGAAAATTGACCTTTTTAACCTTGAGTCAGCACGTACACAACAAATGTCTCTCCATTTATATAGTTCTTTTTTAATTTCACCCAATAATGCTTTCTAGTTTTCAAAGATTGATCTTATACAACTTTTGATGATTTAATTCTAAATATTCTGTATATCTTTAATGCAATTAAAAATGATATTTTTTAAATTTTCAAGGTAAAGATAAGCAATTAGGGTTGCAGATGTAGCTCTGTGGGAGAGAGCTTGCTTAACATGTGTAAGAACCTGGGTTCAGTGCCCAGCAAATCACAGAAAATATGCTATCACTTTGATTAAAACTTTTATATTTTATGTATATAGGAACAAACAATAGAAAAATAAAGATTAAAGATAAATTAGCTTCATTGGCATAAAAAATATCATCCTAGGATACCTAGGTTAAATATAAGGAAAGATATATAAGGCCTAAACTAAAACTAGAAAACATTGCTGGGAGAAATGAAGAAAATTGCATTCAATGAGGAAATATACCAAATTCATGGATTAAGAGTCACTATTTTTATGTTAAAGACAGATGTCAGTTCCGCCAATATTAATCTATATTCTATGCTATCCCGATCAAAATCCTAGCTATTGGGGGGTAGTCTTTGGTGTTTTTTGGTTTTTTGTGGTTTTGGGGGGATTTTTTTTTTTTTGCTTGTTTGCTTGTTTGGGGTTTTTAATGGAAATTGGCAGTCAGATTCTGTAAATTAAATGGAGATGCAAAGATCCTAGAGTATTCAGGACTATATGAAAGAAGAATCAAATGGGAAGGACTTAAACTATCTAGCCAGCTATTCTTGCAAACAAATAAATATAGCATAAATGAGTCTCACCGCCACAATATGAGCACAAGAAGCCAGATCTAAAGAGTCTGTGTTGTTTGATTCCATTTAGAGAAAAAAAAAAAACTGTAAAATAAGCAAAAACATTAAGAGCAAAATAGTAATTACTCTTGAGGTGAGTGTTAATGCAGTTGGAGGAAGGAGAAGGCATTGTATGAGGTG